GTGTGTGTGTCCCTGTCCCCCCCCCCGGCCCCCCCCAGGTGCGGTCCCCGCTGTCAGAGTCCATCCTGGGGGAGCAGACGCTGGTGGTGTCAGAGGAGAAGGTGACGGTGACGGAGCTGCGAGCCCAGGTGGTGGCCGAGCTGGCCCTGGGCCTACAACCACTGCCTGGCCACCCCGGGGTGCTCACCGCCACCGTTTTGGGGACGGCCACCTTGCGTCACCCTAAGCAGGTGAGATGGGGTGGTGGCAACAAGGAGGGGGGGGGGGTTTGGAGGGGATACACACCCCCCCACCCCACATCTTGGATGTGCCAGGGGTGGCCTGTGTCCCCCCTCCATCACCTCTGGTGACATGGTGGCCACCATCCCTGGCAGGAGGCCACCTTATCCGTCTGGTTGGCCTTTTCCGACCGCACGCTGGCCCCGCTGGAGCTCTACGGTTGGCAGGAGGTGGCCTTGAGCGTCACCTCGTTGGACCCCTCGGTGGCCACCGTGGGGGGCTCGCCCGGTGTCCCCACCGCTCGCCCCTGGCTGGTGGCCGAAGGGCCTGGACGGGGGGCTCTGCTGCAACTCAACCTTCACCCCCCCGACCCTTGTCGCCGGGCCCGTCACCGAGGAGCCGCGTTGGCCACCGGGGCCGCTTGGTTGGAGGTGGGGACCGGGCAACGTGTCCCTACCCCTGGTAGCCCCCGAGGTGGCCGTCCCCGACCCAGCTTGCCCTTCCCTCGGGCGGAGGGGGCCATGTCCGGGGAGGCGGTGACGGTGGCCAACGAGCCCCGGAGGAGAGACCCCCCAGGTGTGGGACCTGCCTCCACCAAGCTCCAAGGGTTGGGAGGTTCTTCCTCGGATGAGGAAGAAGAGGAGGAAGAGGAAGGTTACGGCCACGGCCGCGCCGCCGGTGAGGAGGAGGAAGAGGAGGAAGATGAGATGGTGAAGGCTCCTGAAGGGGTGACCGACCTGGAGATCGGCATGTACGTCCTGCTGGGGGTCTTCTGCCTCGCCATCTTCATCTTCCTCCTCAACTGCATCTTCTTCGTCCTGCGCTACCAACAGAAGGAGCTGCCGGATGCCGGGGGGGCTCCTACGGCCCCCCAACCCCATAACTGGGTCTGGTTGGGCACCGACCAAGAAGAGCTCAGCCGGCAACTGGACCGCCGGCAGCCCGAGCCACCGGTGTCCCCCCCCCAACAACCCGCCCCCGAGGG